AAAAAATATGATTTAATTAAATATACATACACACTGTTGAAGAGGAATCATTAAACCAGACTCCAAGGGGAGAAAATTTATTTGCTGGTTAATTTAAGAACAAAATAAAATAAAAACTGTATGACTGATTTCTTCCTCAATCTCGCTCCCCAGCAATTCAGTGGAGACATTCACATGGATTAAAACATGAAGGTTGCCATTTACAGAAAACCTAGAGGTTCCCACTCGCCTGGGAGCTGCACCACCAAAGCCACCCTCTTCTTCTTCCTTTATATGCCCTACACACACACACACACACACACACACACACACACTTGCATTTCCTTGGAACTGCAAGTCTACAATCCCATCACATCAGTGAGGGGCATCTTCCCCTCTCTTATCCTAGGTTTCTTTGCGCAGGACAGGGTGTGAGCTGCATGTCAGAGGTTCGTACAGTGCCCTCCCTGGGCTGGGTGTTCATTCTCAGGTCTGCCATGAGGCATAAAGCTTGCACTAATGACTGTTTCCCGGGCTATTATTGGTGAGACAATTAAGCCCTTGCAGACACTGAGCGGAGGGGCCTGTCTGCGGGCGGCTGCGGGCCTCTGGGTAATCAATCAAATTTCTCAGCTGCGCTGTCAATCAGACCTGTGCCTGAGCGGCGTCTATTGACAATTCTCAGCATGCAGGCGCTTTTCCGCTCCCTCACCTCTTTGGAGTTCACGGTCATATGGACTCTGAGCCTGCTGTTTTTTCATCACACATTGGAATTTTTTCATTTTTCTCTGCTTGTGTTGATTCTCCCCCCTGTTTTATCCTTTCAAGACTATCATAAAAAAAATATATAGTATTCAACACAAGTCCCCTGGAGGGCTTCTTGGCCGTGTTCTCAATATATATTATTCTGTATCTCATTTCTCTTTCTCCTTCTTACCCGAGACACCCCTCAGACTACAACCTGTGATCCCTTCAAAACCTCAAAACACCTGTACTCCATCGCTTTCAGTGTTTCTGACCATGTACCTACCACCGCTCCCCAGAGTCCAGGATGCCCTGCGTAATCACGGAGGTCAAATTGTTCTCCCCATGCCAGGCAGTACCTATTTTTATGTATTGAATATTGACAAATTATAATTGTGTTTAGGCGGTCTAAAGTAAAGGCTCTAAATAATATCTGGGTACTTTTCCTTTATTCCTTCAGTCAATCAGAAACAGCACCCCCCTTGACCAGTATTTCCCCATCTCCACCCCACCCCCAAAGATCCTAATTGTGTCATCAAACAATTGGCGGGTCCCTCGCATGCTATTTTTTCAATACTACGCTAATTTCAAATAATCTGGTCCTCAGACCAGTACTACCAGTTCGGGCTTGCAAAATCTGGTCAAAGTACACTAGAAGGACCTTCTTTTAAGTCATTGGAGTAGTAGTTAATTTTCAACATTGTACACTCAGCCGTCAGCACTAGAAACCACCTAGCTCAGTGAGAAACCCCATCATTTTCTATAAACAAAAAACAGGAGTCTTAGGTCCATTTGGAATTTCTTAGTATCTGTGCCCCTCCTCCACCTGACTACAGCAGGCGTGGGAGCCCAAACGCATGAGCTTGTAAACACAGATGTGTACTTGTGCGCGCGCACACACACACACACACACGTGCTTGACTGTGCACATTGAGTGAGCTATCCTCTACTCATCCTCAAACCTGGGTAAACCTTGGCTACACAAGTTGGAGGAAATGCAGCATTGAGGTGAAATCTTTTGCTCTTTGCACTGCACAAGCCCCCGGGTCATGTTCTCCTGGCTTTAACAACTCATAAGTAACTTCTCCACTCAACCCGTTGCCCAAGCAGCACCCGCGACAACTGCCAGTTTGTTACCAGTATCTTGACAGCTTCTTTCACACGTGAAAAATGGGAGTATAATCTCTCTTTATGAAATCCCTCCATGAAAAGGACTGTTGTCAGCACAGAAATAATCAGTTTACCCGGCGGTATCTTAATGAGCAAGCAAAAGCATAGCAGGAAGACACTAATAGCAGCTGACGCGCTGAGCCCCGATCGGGGTCCAGGCATGGTGCCAGGCACAGTGCATGCGTCGTCTTTCTACATCCCTGCTATACCCTGTCAGACGGGGTCTGCTGATAGACACACCACACAGATGAAGGGGCTTAAGGAGCCAGAGCAGCCAGCTCTCCATTCAACCCAGACAGTCCAACTCCAGCTTCAAAGTGCTTTGTTAGTCTGCCTGCAGAGTCTAGCCTCAGCACACTATCCGAGGGGTAGGTTTTGATGATGCTGGATTACAAAGTCTCTGGGGTGAGCACTCCTTGATTGACTCTCTATTCTACCAAATGGCACTCAGATACAACACACCCTCTCCTGCCGTGGGACCAAAGAGCTCCTCTTGTTCCCCAGGATAGCAGAGAGGGTTCTGTGAGGCTGGTTTCTGAGAAGCAGGTGAGTTGGCAGCTTCACGCCTAGCTCAGTCTCCTGAGCACTCAGTTGTAAGTATCGAGTCCTTCAGCTCTTTAACTATGGAGGTGCGCCCCCCCCCCACAACCCTTGTCTGGTATGGGAGAATGGTCTGTATTCTGTCAATTATATTTTAAATAAACGCTGATTGGCCAGTAGCCAGGCAGGAAGTATAGGTGGGACAACCAGACAAGAAGTAGAGGCAGGTCAATGAGGATAGGAGAATTCTGGGAAGGAGGAAGCCCATTCCTCTGCAGTCCTGGACCAGCCACAGAAGAAGCAAGATGTGACTGCCTCGCTGAAAAAAAGGTACTGAGCCATGTGGCTAACATATACAAGAATAACAGGCCAATCAGTTTAGAGTTAATGTAGACCTCTGTGTGATTTCTTTGGGTCGAAACGACTGTGGGAACCTGGCAGGACAGAAACCCCCACAACACTTGGCCCCTCTTCCCCATATAAATGCACTTCCTTCAGGCCAATGCCTTTGTTATGAGTGGTCCTTGGGACATACCACCACCAGATCAGCTTGTCTTGGCCCAGTGTCTGGAGCTTCCTCTGAACAGTGACCTCAGTCCACCAGGGTCCTCTCCCGGCTAGCTGCCTGGGATACTTTGGCACACAGGGATAGAGAGCAAGGGCAGGGCAACAGGAGGCGTGAGACTAGGCGTGGGCCATGGCAAGTCACGTGTGCTGAGGTAGAAAGTCACAGCACGGGGAAGACACTGCCTGGAACAGAATAGATACTGTGGAAAAGCTTGTGCCATACAGTTCTCGTTTTTATAAGCACAATGGTAAAAGGATGAAGGTTGCCTGGGCCTTAGGAGTAGGGAGGGACACATTTTAGAGAGCGAAGGGAAGCTAGGAATGAGCAGATTACTTGCCCGATGAGAGAAAGGAGGGAAGGGGGGTAAAGAGTAGAAGAAATAGGAAGAGAGAGAGAAAAAAAAGAAAGCAAGCAGGCAACACCGATGCCCTCTATAGTACGCATGGCATCCTAAATCCTCATCAATGATACATTTGCCTCTGAAATCAAGCAAACCCCTTAATTAGTCTCAACTAAAGTAAGAAAAAAAATCTTTCCCCTACCAGGCATGCATTTACATTTTGTCCTGAAGACAAACGTCATATTGTTGGTCCTAGACCAGGAAAAGGAAAGCCTGAAAGCTGTACCAGCGAGGAGAGCACGAACAAGGGCCTGACGCTCACTCTGTTCTTCCAAGCAGAGCCTATCATAAGCACACACATCCCTGCCAGCTACACGCTCAGCTGTCACTACCGTTGATCACCGTCGACAGTGTACACGCTCAGCCATCACTACCATTGATCACCGCGTACAGTGCACACGCTCAGCCATCACTACCATTGATCACCGCGTACAGTGCACACGCTCAGCCGTCAATACCATTGATCACCGCGTACAGTGCACACACGCTCAGCCGTCAATACCATTGATCACCGCGTACAGTGCACACGCTCAGCCGTCACTACCATTGATCATCGTCTACAGTGCACACGCTCAGCCGTCACTACCGTTGATCACCGTCTACAGTGCACACGCTCAGCTGTCAATACCATTGATCACTGTCCACAGTGCACACGCTCAGCCGTCAATACCATTGATCACCATCTACAGTGCACATGCTCAGCCGTCACTACCATTGATCACCGTCTACAGTGCACACACCCAGAAATCAATACCATTGATCACCGTCTACAGTGCACACACCCAGAAATCAATACCATTGATCACCGTCTACAGTGCACACACCCAGCAATCAATACCATTGATCACTGTCTACAGTGCACACACCCAGCAATCAATACCGTTGATCACCGTCGACAATGTACACACTCAGTCATCACTACCATTGATCACCATCTACAGTGCACACACCCAGCAATCAATACCATTGATCACCATCTACAGTGTACACGCCCAGCTGTCAGTACCATTGACCACCCTCTAGAGTGCACACGCCCAGCTGTCACTGCCTCTGATCACCATCTACAATACAGTCCTCACTCCAACATCACCCCAGCCTTGTTGTCCCCACAGTGTGATTATTAAACTCTCCCGTAATCCATCCGATTTGCAGGATAGTTTCCTGTCCATGGAAAGCAAGCACATTTTAGCTCTAGGCTGGTTGCTTACAGGATTCCTTTGCCCACTTTTGCCTAATTCTCTCCTTTCATTGGGGAAGCTGGACGCTGAAGTGAGTTATTGAAAAGTCAAAGGAAAATGGGAGCAGAGTCTTCAAGCCTGGCGGAGTGAGCGGAAATGGCTCCTTGCCTTAATGGAGCTGCAAATGCAGGGGTTGTCGTCCATGTAGCACTTGGCATGCGGCCCACAGGTCTCATTATGCCACAATTACACCCAGATGTCAGACATCAGAGTTAGCATTGAAAGCCAGGGGAGTGGGAGAGTGTTTAAAGCAGTCCGTGCCCGTCTTCCGCAAGAGCTAAAGTGAAGGCAGCGCTGTTTTAACACAGCACACGCTTTTCCCAACTAGCCATTGACAAGAAAGAGTTACGTAGGTACTTACTATTTATAACCCATGGCCACATCCACAAAGTACTTCCTCCTCTGTCGATAGACATTGTCCTTAAATCCCTTAAACAGAAAAAAGATTAAGTTACTTAACAAAGTGCCGAAAAATTAGCCACCGAAGGCCTAAAAGAAAATCACTGTGGTGTTTATTGAGTGTTCAGTTCAAATGTAAATCTTATCCTCAGGGGACCGACTTGATGACATGGGCAAAGGCGAATTGTGCTTACAGTAAAACCTCTTTCCATCTGGGTCTGCTAATTTGGGATGTGTGGGAATTTGGGCCAAAGTTTACCTTCCCACTGGGCAAGCAGCGGGGCTTAGTTAAGTAAACTACTATTTTCCCCAGTTTCTTTAGGTTTTCAAGTATCATTTACGAGTCATTGATCTTAATAACTGGTTAATCTTAGCCTATTCATTAAAACAGGTTTGACGCGTTTAACCAAATTTTAATTGCTGTGTGTAAATAACTAATAAATGAAACATCTATTAAAGACTCGGTCGCTCCGAGTAATTATCAAATCCCCAAATTAGCGCGAATTAAAGAGGCTTTGCTGTACTTTCCCATCACACCATGCAACACGAGGACAAGCTTCACGCACAAGGGCAGGCTAGCTCCATTCATCCCACTGAGGGACTCTCCGTCATTAATGTGTCTTCGCCAACTGCCCGATTTTTATCTAAATTTTCCAATTATAATTTAAAAATATTTTTACTTAACCTCGTCCTTTTGGGAAATTAAATACTGAGTCTGTCATTTTTTGCTCCCATGAACTCCTGACAAGTTTCCCTGTTCTACTTCCTGGTCTACCCAACCATCTCTCCTCACGTCAATGGGCTTCTCATTTTTTCCTTTTCTTTTCATACTAAGACAACCAATTCTTTCTGGATTTGTTTCTTCAAGGTGTCAAAAGTCCTGGAGGAACTGTGTCTACTTCTTACTTGTATAAGCATATACCACCATGAGCAGCCAGGAGATAGAAAGCCATGAACCACATAGGACAAGCCAGAGTGTAGTCTACAGGGTCTATAAGATTCAACGGTAGGTAAAGGAGGTACCTACAGGGTCTAGCTGCCAAAGTAACAATACAGTCATTGCTGCAAGGTAGGATGTTCAATAGGAACACCAACTCACTATTTCAAGTTTTCACAACTTGATTCTCTTGTCTAGCTGAAAGAGAATGGGGCTCAAGGCCAAAATCCTCATGGAGCTGTGTGCTGGACATGACTGAAGGGTTACCTTTCTTTTTGGAATAGCCAGAGTTAGCAATGGAGGAGGGAGGAAAATACCGCCTCAGATCACACTAAGACTCTGTAAAAATGAGGAAACCCACACACAGTAACCAGCATTTTCCCCCTCTTTGGGCCTGGAATTCAGATTGTTTAAACAAAGGCTGGTAGGCAGGCTTGTAAAACCCTAAAATGCTTATAGACAAAGCTTGTGACTATAGTTACCACATTTACAAATAGGTCTTTGGCCTAAATAAAAGGTCTCCTGCTGTAGAGGGTAGACAGAATCATGCTGGCAAGTGGGTTCCTCGCTCACGAGTAAAACAGGCTACCTGGGGTGGGAAAGCTGAAGAATTCCAAGCACATTCATGATTCGAAATGAAAGTAGGCCAGGAAAAAGGGAAAAAAGAGTCCCATGAAAAGCATAGCATCTGTCCCCCGGTTCCTGCCAGGCTGGACACCATGGCAACCGCATCAAAATCTGCTGGTTTCCAGAAGATTCTCAACCCTCGCCTCAGCAAACACCTGCACCTTTTCCAGGGACACAAGAGAGAGATTTGCTCATCACGCCTCATTAGCCCAGAGTGGCAGTGATTACAAAATGCGCGGGGCATCCAGAGCGTCCTGAATTCATCCGCGGACTGGCATAGTAAGAGGCGCTAGCTAACGGAATCAGCCATTCCAGACACGCGCCAGTTTTGGCTACCCATTCTGAACTGGAGCCAGGGGTAGGGTACCAGCTAAAAATACAAGATGCCCAGTTCCAGTTTCAATTTCCGATAAATGATAAATTTTTTCCAATTCTACTGGGCAACCTTATATATTTATTTGTAAAACTCTGGTGACTCTGGGACCCAGAGAGAGCCTCCTGTACAACCCCAACCCCAAATTAAATCAAAGTGAACTGAAGACTCAGCCTGAGCCCTAATGTGCCCAGTTCAATTTATGAGGCAACTCAAGCAGGCATCTCAAACAGCTCAAGCCTGGTGCGATATTAGAACCACTTGGGGCGATTTTAATAATACTTCAAACCTGGCCCTTCCTCCCGGAGATTCTGATTTAAGCTCTGAAAAGCGAGGACATACTTTTTTTTTTTTTTAGTTCCCCACAGATGATTGAAGTGGGTCACTTTAGCTGAGCCTCGCTGAGCTAGGATGCTAATTCTCACACCTGGACCCCATGGAATCTGCTACAGACCCTTTTCCACACAGACCCCCCTACCCAGTCTGCTGGTGGAAAGCCTCCTTGCCTGAGCTTCTGGGGAGCGTCTTGAGGTTTCTTTTTTTAATACATAAATATATATATATATATATATATATATATATATATATATATATATATCAGAAGAGTGAATCTTGGACCACACCTTGGAAGACCCTCCAAGTCTAGGCCCTGGCAAGTCAAAATCCTGGATCCATATCCCCCAGTGTGAGCTTCACCTGGGAGCTCTCAAGACATGCAGACTCTTAGCCCTCCTTAGTGATTCACTGTATTTCAAAGTATTTCCCAGTCAATTTCTTTGTCTATTAAGATTTGAGAGCCGCGGGCCCATGTATTTAACACTTTCTCAAAGCAGCACAGTACCAGGTGTTTCTTTGGGGCCACCAACAAGCTCCCAAATCACGACACAGACTTACCATTAGTTTTGGATGCCTGGCCTAACTTATGCACATTTCTGGCTAGCTCTTTTAACTTAAATTAACCTCTTTCTCTTTCTCTGCCTTTTGCCTTTGGGTTTATTACCTTTTTTCTGTATATCTTACTTTTATTGCTCCTCTATGTCTGCTGACTGGCACCTGCCTAGCTTCTTGCCCTGGGCATGTCCCTCAATCTCTCCTTCTCTCTCATTTTGTTTTGTTTATCCTCTCTGTCCTTTTTTTTATTTTTCCGTTCAAAAATTTACACTTCCTCCCCTCCTCCCATTCCTCTCCCGCTCCCCAACTAACCCTCCTCCCTCCCCTCCCTCCTTAAGAGAGGGCAGGGTACCCTGCCCTGTGGGAAGTCCAAGACCCTCCCCCCGCCCCCCCGCCATCCAGGCCTAGGAAGGTGTGCATCCAAATAGACTAGGGTCCCAAAAAGCCAGAGAATTTATTTATTTATTTATTTACATATATAGTGTTCCGCCTGCATGTTTGCCTGCGGGCCACAAGAGGGCACGAGATCTCATTACAGATGGTTGTGAGCCACCATGTGGTTGCTGGGACTTGAACTCAAGACCTCTGGAAGAGCAGCCAGTGCTCTTAACCTCTCAGCCATCTCACCAGCCCTTGTTTATCTTTTTGAGCCTAGATTCCTCCTCCTATTTATTCTCTCTGCCTGCTGACCCCGCCTATCCTTTCTCTGCCTATTTATTGGCTGTTCAACTCTTTCTTAGGGCAACTGATTGGTCTGATAAAGATGAAACAGATGCAACACATCTTTTCATAATTAAACACACATCCTCACATCATTGAACAAATGCAGCACAAACAAAAGTAACCTTTACACAGTAAAAATAATATTCTGCAGTATAAACAAATGTAACACATCTTTGTCTGGTTAAAAAAAAATATCCCACAACACAGCATGATTTATGTTCCAAGCCCTCCCTGGACTATCCCACAGCAAGAGTCCCTCTGTCATTCCTAGAACTTTAATCATTCTCAGATGTAAGAAGTGCTTAGACAACCCCCCCCATCCACATCAAATAAAAACTCACAAAAGCACCAGCTTACCAATATCAGATTTTGCATAATGAACATTTGGTGTGCTTATAACAATGGCAAGAGACATAGGGGATGGCTAAGTACTTGCAATAATTTCAAGTGGCTGCACAGGAAATAAGTGGAGATATTATAAAGCAGGTGTGACTGGGAGTAATGGAATAAAATTAAGCACAGAAAAAAATGTACTCCTGGTGTTGGAATACCTCTTGTTCACAGCAAGGTCAGTGGCTCCTGCGGTGGCTTCATCCAAATGGCTATACTCCTTCCTCCGGGGTAAGTGATTTTTAAAACTCCACTAAGGGAGCCTTTAGACATGGGAGGTCCTCAAAAGCACCTCTACTGTCTCCATATTGATCTGGATGGCTTAATACGACAGTTCCCTCACTGAATTTAGGCATTTCCTGTTGCCAAATTGCCTTCTGGTTGCTTTCTTAAGTAGGCTTTTCAAACACCCTTTTGAGGTCCATAAGAATTTCTATTTCCGCTTTTTACATTCAAGAACCCCAAGGTTCAGAGGTACATGGACCTCAGCAAGGTCTTTCTGCAAGTTAGCAGCTGGTATCCATGTAGTCTCCATCCTCCAAATCATGTGAACCAGCGTGCACTAATTCCAGTTCCACCGAGACTGGGTGAGAGAGGGGAAATAATTAAAAGCTTTAGTAAAGATGACTAAAGCCACTGTTTGGTTTTTTTTTTTTTTAAGTTTTTTGAGACAGGGTTTCTCTGTAGCTTTGGAGCCTGTCCTGGCACTAGCTCTTGTAGACCAGGCTGGCCTAGAACTCACAGAGATCCGCCTGCCTCTGCCTCCTGAGTGCTAAAGCCACTGTTTTAATGGGTTTTCCGTGGCTGCTGTGTGAAGTACTGTGGATTTCTATGCTATGCTGCGAACACAACACACTATGTATGCATTATTTCAGCTTTTTACATATAATGCAACAATTAGGTTGCTGAACCATTTATTTGAAAGGAATGCTTGAATTGGTTTGATATTGCACCAAATGACTACTTTGCATGATAGTTGGTTACTGTTGAACTTGTCCGTGGATCCCGAACTGAAGAAGTGTGCAGTGGTTAAAGCAAGGTCCCAGATGCTGGTGCTACTGCCGATCCTACGCCCACACTTAGGTACCATTATTCAGGGTACAATGATACAGTTGCACTCTCAAATTTTCTCCGTCTTCAATAGTGTGAGCTTCTGCGAGCCGTTACCCTCGTAACACAAAGGCTTCCTTCCACTAAGCATGACAGAGCCATTTAGATTTCACTGTTCTATCCGCCCACTGCTAGATGCCGGGGTAGGGAAGGACGCTCATAATGAATGTGTATATTGCTTACTTCGCTGTACTTCATTCTGGCCATAAAGAAGTTCAGGGTCTCTTGTGTTAAATAAAAACTGATATAAAATGGGGCGGGGGAGAAAGATGGGAAATGCTCACCCAAGTGTCATATTTCTCTAACGGTGGTCACTTTTATTGGAGTAGAGGAGGAAATGGTGGATAGATTCGGAGTGGCTGTGGGAAGGATGTCTCTTCCATCACGGCCTTACTCTAAAGCCCTTCTTCTGCCTTTCCGTCGAGACTGAAGTCAAGCATATAACTCAGCTCCTAACTACCTCCAGTCAAGGAAAATGGCAAGAATTTTACTCTCTCACCGAGCCCCATCACGTCCGGTCTTCCCTAGTTCCCCAAAGGTGTGATCAATTTTTCAGTTCATCGTTCTTCCAAGGGTCACCATCTGCACGTATATTTTAGGCTGTCTAATTCCACAGAAATATCCTCCAAGGCATACAATCTCCTCCCCTACCCAACTATTTTATAAATAAACCGTATGTGAAAATGCCATCTTTCTGACCTCCTTCCAGCCAACACATGTACAGGGGAAGCTTAATCATCTCAAAGTCTGCTCTCAGTTGCGGGGGGATAAATAGGAAATTACAGCACAGAATACAGTACACACAGCATCTGGCATAGGGCAGAGCCGGCCGGGAGAGGACCCTGAAAGGGATCCAGCGAGACACTTACTGGGTGGTCCGCATCAAGCTCGGTTCCGTACATGAGAACTCTGCGCGAGCACCTGTCTAACTCGGAGATCTTCCGAGGAAACCACAGCACATCCGCCAGTTCTGTTGGGAACAGCGCAGGTTCGACAGTATTAGCTCGCGGGGCCGTGCCTTTCCCTCTGCGTCATGCGTCAGACTGCAAAAGCACACAACAAGCAAGAAAAGCGAAAATCCCCCTTGCCTTCTTCCTCGGTCCAAATGCTCTCAGGCGGATCCAGGGTCACGATGGTGGTCTGAAATTTCAGCAGCTGGATGAGCTCGTTGAACTCGGTTTTGCCACATTCGCAGTCCACAAAGATTTCAACTTCAGAGCTTCTTCGCCGGGATCTCCTGGATTCAATGTGAACCATGTTGACATGTTTTTCCTGTGGAAACATGCGTGATATATCTGAATCACACTCCGGTCACGGTGAATAAGTGTGTATGTAGTCATGTGTGGCTATCAAGGAGTGAAGTGTCAAGTACCTACAGGAGAGGACTGGGTACGCTTTAGTGAGAACTTTCCCAGCTACTACTTTGATTAATAAGGAAGACTAATTGCCATGCCTCCATATAGGTTGTCCTGTCTTATAATAAAAAGAGGAAGGCATTGAAGACTTATAAAAGAAAGGCACTATAAAATATATCTTGATCGTAAGCATCATTTCTCAGAGGAGTCCACATCCCACAGCTACTGAGTGAGGATTAGCAAGGACATTAGCCTGCCTATTACATTACCATAATGTAGTATCCTAAACTTTGTGTTTTCATACTCTAGAAAAATACAAAGCTCCACATCTCCATCTTACAATAATAAAAGGCTTCCTTTTAAAATGAAGTTTAAAAATAAAGCAATCATATAGAGTCAGGCATGATAACGCATGCCTAAAATCCCAACAGCCAGAGGAAAGAGGCAAGGGAATTGCAAATTCTTCTAGGCCACATAGCAAAATGCTTTCTACATATAACGATAACTTAAAAATAAAAAATAAAGCAACCCTTTTTTAGAAAAATTGTGACTAATAAAAATGCCAAGCAGAGCCGGGCGGTGGTGGCGCACGCCTTTAATCCCAGCACATGGGAGGCAGAGGCAGGTGGATCTCTGTGAGTTCGAGACCAACCTGGTCTACAAGAGCTAGTTCCAGGACAGGCTCCAAAAGCCACAGAGAAACCCTGTCTTGAAAAACCAAAAAAATAAAAATAAAAATGCCAAGCAGAAGAGAGAGGGTGTGTAAAATAACCTATGATTTGGAAAATATTGATCAAAGCGTAGCCCAAACTTTAGGAAAATAAACAGGAAAAGGATGGAAGAGAGGCTGTCCCAGGCAAAAGAAAAACAGGCCAAGTGCAGGGAAGAGGCAGAACACAGGAATAATACCCCTAAACAGGAGCACATAGCGACTCTCTGGCATCTGCCGGGCTAGCTTCACTGGGCTATATTCTGCAGCTGTCATCTTATGAGTCTTCTTACAACAAGTTATTCCATGAAGAATCGTGACTTTAATGCTTAAAAATGTGGTTGAAGTTTCCCATTGGCACGCCTTTCTCCTTTGTCGATTGTCGGCTCAGGTCTCCTCGCCATGCCCTGCCCCACAAGCACACGCCTCCCTGTCACACTGGATTTCAGCGCAGCTTCAGAGACATGCCTAGATGTTCTCATTCTCTTTTTTATTAAGCTTTGCAATAATGCTATATCTTATAAATTAGCTAATATAATCAAAGTGGGGTTAATATTAAGTTCAAGGCCCAAAAGACTCCACGTTCTTTGTGTCACTTTGGGCTTTTAACGTATGCTTGGGTCAGAGTGGATATTTGTAGACCAGGGCACTGAGGTCCCAGGGGGTTGAGGGCTTTATCTAAGGCCCGGTGACTAGCTGAGGGCAGTGTGCAAATTCAAAGTGCAAACCCCTTCTATGGGGATTTTTTTTTCCACAGCACCCAGCTGTCTAATTGAATTGGCTTTGCCTTTGGGCCTTGTGTGGACACAGGCCTACATGGCATAATTCTGTGTAAAATACTACTCCAGATTTCCATTAACACTGTTTATGGTCCCTCATCTTTTCCTCAAGGCCAGAAGGGAACGAGGAAACGTTTTCTGAATCAGGTTAATCCCCATCTATGGTCATCTAGGGACATCACAAATAATGCCTCCTGTCTGCACTTAACAAAACACCCTCATATTCTTTCATCCCAACAACCCAGTTAGGTAGGAATTATCATTATTGCCATTTTACAAATGAGGAAATTGAACTGAGGAGCAGGTAATGATTGACCAACAAAGCCAGCACAGGTCCAAATCCCCGAACTATGTGTCTACTATTCCACAGCCTAAGGCACAGGAAGAGCCGAACTCTTCAACTTACATCCCTGGCAACCAGCCATTGGCATCCAACAAGACACATTTGTGAGGGTTTCTACTTAAGGTGGTGGAAACAGCAGGTGTACAAGGCATTCCCCTTCACCCAAGTTCTTTATTTAGGACACAAAACAGGGATTTATGCCGGAGATAAATACCTTTCTAGAAGTCATTCCTTCAAAATATATGTGTGTATACATACATATAGATAGATAGATAGATAGATAGATAGATAGATAGATAGATATACAGCTTTACATAACACACATTATTAAGGAAGTGTCTGTATTCATGTATCTCACTTTATGCAATAAATATGCTTTCATTACATAAGCACAGTTCAAATTTAGTAAATCAAAGCAGGGTATAGAATCTTGATATTTGGAAGCACCGTGTGTGTGTGTGTGTGTGTGTGTGTGTGTGTGTGTGTTTGCATTTTCAACTGCAAAGTTCCCACTTTTGAATTACAGACTTTCTTACCTGGCAACAGTGTACAGGATTCCTAATAGGCTAACTCTGAGCTAATAAATTACAGTTCCCATGAAGTTAGGCAGAGCCAGCTTCCCTTGTAAAATCCTCATGATAATCGGTTCCGTCCAAGTTTTTTCTGATGTTAACCAGAAATGGATTCAGGAATGGCTTTAGATCAGGCGACAGGTCTGCAGCCAGGCACATGGCCGCCGTAAAGTTGCAAACGGGCACCTTGCATTTACCTGGAAGAGTCTCAGTGCTTTCACCAGCCCTCCGACCTCATTCTTCAAGGAGAACACAACTGCCGTCTTGCCGCTCTCCGCGGTGTCACTTCTGCCGCTCCCTTTGCTTCCCCTCTTGTCCTCATTCTTGCCAGCAATAGCTTTATTTAGCTTCAAGAAATAGAAGCACAAATATCAGCCAGATTCCAGAGGTCTCCATAATTTAATTTGTCTAGAGATCCCACTTGAATGCCGGACGCCCTATCCATCACACTAGCTCACAGTGGAGTCCTCATGGCGCTCAGCTGTCTGAAATTCTAGTCTCCTCTATGCTGCGGTACTCTTTGCACTGTTTCAAGGTAGTGTCTAGAGGATTAATTTAAAGGAAGGCTAGGTTTCCTTTAGTTTGATGGTGATGAAAACCTAATTATCAGTAAGAACAGTGGGTCTCAACCTTTCTAATGCTATGACCCTTTAATACAGTTCTTCATGTTGTGGTGACCCCCAACCATAAAATTACTTTCATTGCCGCTTGATAACTGTAATTTTGCTACTGTTATGAATTGTGATGTAAATATCTTATATTTCTGATGATCTTAACAACCCCTGTGAAAGGGATATTCGACCCCAAACTGCAGAGGGAGTCACAACCCACAGGTTGAGAACCACTGCAATAGTATAAAATAATATATGTAGATAATCTCTGCCTTTCTTTTTCTCTTTTTTATTAAATTCTTTCATTTATTTTACATGCCCACCACAGTTTCCCCACCCTCCTCTTTCCCCGTTCCCTCCCCCTCACCCCAATCTATCCCCCCATCCACTCCTCCTCCTTTCAAAAAGGAATTCCTGCCTTTGTTTTCAGGCAATTTTGCAGCATAAAATCCGGTTATTTATCTTCATTGGTCCATCTGTAAACTTTATTAATTAGTAAAAATACCAAACATAAGACCAAACATACTTTTAGCAGAGCAAAGGTAGCTTCAATGAAGTCTCTTAAAACAGAAGTATTTATTGCATTCTGAAACAAGTCAGGACATGGGTGAAAAAGGATAATTTCTTCATCCGAGACCCACATTGCCATCCCAAACCATCAGTCTAAAGCTTCCTGCCCACTGAGGAAGTCCACGACAGAACAGTGTGTCCAACCAAGCCTGCTGTGGGAAACTGGTCCTGGACAGTGACTAGTACATTTCCATCACAAATAAAACAGGCAGTCGGAAAAGCAGAAGAGAGAAAGAACCACCTAGCTAATCACTAGGAACAACCAAGAGAATCTGAGCAATAACTAAGTTCTTTTAGCTAAAGATAAAAATAACAGGTTCGAGCAATTCAAGGCACATTGCAGAATTTGAGAAACAAAGCTGGGAACTTTTCATTTGACAGACAATATGAGATTATGACAGTCTATTTTGTACTCATTGCATATGAAAGCAGAGTTGGGCAAACAGAGATCTCTCTCTCTCCCTAGCTAATAGTAGGATAACATAATCACACCGGTCCACGACATCCTCATAGAACCGAGACCCACACGTTTATAAGGACCCCAGTGAAAAGTGATTTGCCGCTGTCTTCCTTCAATTTCTCTCCTAGCTTTATTTTCATGCATTAAGATTGTCTCACTCGCTGAATTTATATTTAATAGGAAAGGATATTTTATTATTTATGGCTTGAGGGAGAGAAGTTTATGCCAGCACTGGCATTTGACAGTGGGTTTAGTCATTTAAAAGCTCAGATTTCTTCATAGTCTCAACATCTGCTTCAGCCTCTCCACATCATCCCCAGATCTCCTATGTCTAAGGAGCATTTTTCTGTAAAAGGGTCATACATTACCCATAACTGATGTTTTTTTTCTGTGTTTCCCTCCTGGCATTCTGTTCTGACTCCAGAATTCCTCAATGTAACTTCTTATCCAAATATTCATGATATTTGAGCGTTAGAAAATTCTATTTTACATTTTGGCCTCATTTTCACAAATTGATTTAAATAGTGCTAAGAAAGTTACTGGGGCTATTTTTCAACATTTGTGAGGTAATAAGCAGAACGCACATATATGGAATTAAAGCATTCAACATGATTTTTTTTTCTCTGACAAGCTGAATTAGGAATCTGTTGACAAACAGGAAAGACAACAGTGAAGCAGCCCCTAAAATTTTAATAATGACAGAAGCCTGGATATATTTTGTTAGTAAAACAAAAGTACTGTTTTTATTAAATCTCATAACTATTGCTCAAATTAGGATCTAAACCTTTGCAAGAACTGTAGCTTTACAAATACCATTCTTTAATGTCAATATTTTAAATGCAAAAATATCTTGCAAATATTGACACAAGGAGTATTTCATTATTTCATCCATTAACCTATACAAAGGGGAATAAAGTAGCATGCAGGAAAACCTCTGGATGACAATGGCTCCTCTTTTTATTTCAAAACCTGTGCTTCAAATCAAGAATACACATTCTGTGTTCAAAGACAAGTTAAGGTGGGGAGGGATATAGGAGACATACTGTCTTGTAGAAACCATAAGAATATATTTAATTCTGTTTCCCAAATCTTCCTATAGGCCTTTCAATGTTCTATCCTTTGAGGGAGGAGTGAATTTAGGAGATTGATTCGCATAACCTTCCACTCTTCACCATAAGGAATTTGACTATTTGAGAAAAGTGTGTCTCTTCACAATTAGCCCCCTGCTTTATTTTGTGAAGAGCTCAGGTAGACAGAAGGGAGGTGATGAGACAAGACTACAGAGGAGGAGGGAGTTGAAGTGCATGCTTCCTCTACAGCAGGTGTCCATATGGTGCGGTTAAAACAATTGCTGCCCTCCAGAACACCGGAGAGTGCCAAGTACTCACTGTTAAGCTGCCAACTAGCTGATGCTCTTCAGGCACTGCTGAATCCAGGGACAACCCTCTCCTGGCCCAGTATTTACTGGAAAACATCATCATTGCGGGCTGCATGGATCCCGATGTAATTTTCTTTCTCAGCAGCAGGGGGGACCAGAGGGGCAACCCTGGCAGAGATGAAGGAGGAAGAGGCCAGTGACAGCAGCCTGCTCGGGGCGCTGTCCAGAAACCCTGGTGCTGAAGAGCAGTGTGCTTGCCTCCCTCCCTGTGTTCTTTTATATGAGTGACTGGTCACTGATGGAAAGCTGATTAGAAAAAACTCATTTCTGGTTGCTGATGGCCACAGTCAGATTACAGATCTGAAGCCTGGGGTTATCTGAGCTCATGATGAGATTTGCTTGTTTCCTAGGTCGAGTAGCTCTTTGGGGGGAGATGATGGAGAACAATAGCATCGGGGTGATTTTTCTCTTCTTGCAACAAAACACAAGTCCTCTAAGATTAGCTCTCAAGCCTGCTACTGGAAAGTTACCCACAGTCTTTAAGCAGCTATGAATTTAAGGGCTTTGTGCTTTCTAAAAGTAATAAAAAAAAATCTAAAAAGTTTTTCTGAGAGCTGACATGTTACGATGTGCAAACTTTACATGTGTGCCTGTGTGTGATGGTTTTCATAAAAGGTCTGTTTGCAAAACCTGTAGCATCTCTATGTAGAGGGACACTCAGGCTCTTGTTCTGAAAAAGAAATGCAAGGCTTGGACTTAGACACTAACCTTCTAAAATGCTCTTCACTAAATAAAAAACGCATGGGAACCAAAACAGACCCAGCACTTCTTTGATATTTCCAGTGAATGTTTCCTTCCATCTGTGACATGATCAGATCCAGCAATTTGACAGGCATAGATAAAATTATATTCTTACTTTTCCAACTTTGGAGAGCTTGCCAATCCTTTGGAGATAGAAAATTCTTCACCAAGTGTATTTGTTTAACTGAAGAACTAAATAAAATCTGGGACTTGAACAGTTTGTTTATCTAGAAAACAAAATGAAGACTATTCAAAACAAAAGTATATGTGTTGACACTGGTTGGGTTTTATTTGTTTCTGGATAGTTGAGGGTTTTTATAATTATTTGATCCAACTCTGGAAATAATCATTCAGCTTATATTTCCACCAAAGATCAATGCTTAAAAACTAATAGGAAAGCAAATACTAATAAATTAACTGAAGTAATTCTAAAAATCATAGTTGACATTGAGAAATGCCTAATTTTGCTAATTTCTATTCTAAACACTTTCTATGTACTTTTATAGGCCAAAACATGATCAGTTATCATGACAGCATTAAGAGAGAGTTACTGACATCCATATGTATGCATGTATGTGTGGGATTTAAATTCAGGTGATTTGACTCCAGGATCCATGTTCTCTATTGTGATATTGTACAGTCTCGAATACTGCAAAAAAGAAGAATATAAACAAAAGCAGGCTCAACAGACCATAGCTTATAGGGCTATACATAGAACAGATGTCTAACTCAACAAAAATTTGTTGAGCCCTGAGTTTGTATTGAGCAATGTAACTAAATCCTGTGGGTGCAAAGAATATACAATTCAACACTGACCCACAAGGGGTCCAGCTGAGAGAAGCAAGTGAAACAAAGGAGATTGACCTCTCTTCAGAAGACATCGAAAGCACAAGTCACAGAGTAGTCAGCAATACATTATGGAATCCTGAGACTCTTTGGGGAGTTGTCCAGGCTGAATCTTTAAAAGTTAATTTGGCCATGTCATAGGCAACGGGAAACAGCAAAGAGATGGTTTGAGGTAGAGGGAAAAATTTCTTCTTGCAGTGGATGGTAATTAAGCCAGAATCAAAACTGGACAATGTGCAGAAAATGAAGAAACTAGGAGCGCTCAAGACTAAACAGAATGTCTTTATCAAACCCTTCCCCTCTAGGTATCAATGCAGAAGAAACAGCAGGAAGCATGTATGAGCTAGAGGTGATGGATGTCTCCATGGAAAGTGTCATCCAGATGCCACAAAACTGATGCCCATATGAACCCACAGAGACTATGATGGCATGCACAAGACCTGTACAAATCCAAGCCAGACAAAAGTCCCATCCCAGTGAATGGAAGTGGTCACAAAGTCCCATCCATAGACAAAGAAGCCATTTGCAACTGATACTTGCTAGGAAAGGGAAACTCTCTTTTCCCCAGTCAAATGTCATTGGGTACAACAATCCCACTCCAGCTGGAACTCAACAACTCAACTCTTAGGTATATATATCCCCCAAAAGTAAAAACATAGCCAAAGAAAGACTGTACAAGATTGTTCATGATAACATTAATCATAAAAGGAAAGGCAATTAAAAATCACCAGCTGATGAGAAGGCAAGCAAAATATTGTGTATTCTAAGTTGACTATCACTTGGTGATGCAAAGGAATGAAAAATGCAATCCCTAAAATTGATGCAAGACCACACTAAGAGTGAATTCTGAAAATATTGTGCTATGAAAAAAAAAAAGCACCAAACACAAAGAACCATGAGTTTGCATGGTTTTGTTTATATGGAATGCCTAGATGTGAAAATAAACAATAAAAAAGAGGGAAAAAATCAGGGCAGATTTATGATAGCCAGGGGATACGAGGGTGGAAGTGAAGAATTGCCACAGGGATTCTTTAGGGAGTTAAAGCAATCTAACACATACAATCTAACAGTTGGTTATAATTGCTGTCTTAAGGCAACTTAAAGAGTGTAAGAGTTTGGTCTACCTGACTTTTCACAGGTATAGTCCGTGACGGGTAGTAAGGCAGTCAAGGTAGTGCAGCCGCAGACGGGCACATTTCATTCACAATCAGAAAACAGATGAGATAAATGCAGGTAGATGAGCAGTTGGCTTGCTTTCTCTGTTTTATACAGTTCTGGATCCACCGCCCAGGACCATAAGTGACCATGGTAGTGATTGGCTGAGATATGGAAGGGTCTAAAATCTTTATGTTAAGTATGCTAGTGCCTTTCAACATAGGTATCCTTGTCAATAAAGATAATAATGAAAGTAAGAGAAATACTATCAACCAGCCCTTAAATCATTGTAAAATAGAAATGGATCTTGGCAGCAGCAGACTATGGGAATAAAGGCACAAAAATGTATTTGTAAATACTAAAGGTTGTTGCAAGGAGGCCACTTGTTTGTTCCCGGCCACTTAGACCCAAAATAATCACACAGAAACCATATTAATTAAAACACTGTTTGGCCCGTTAGCACTAGCTTCTTATTGGCTAACTCTAATAAATTAATTTAACCCATTTCTATTAATCTGTGTATCACCACATGGCAGTGGCTTACCCAGTAATATTCCCAGTGTCTGTCTCAGGCAGAGGATCCACAGCTTCTCTCTGACTCTGCCTTCTTCATTAACCAATAAAAGCAGCATGTAGACAGAAGGACCTCCCACACCAAAAGGTAAATTTATTAACTGAGAGAAGCAAGAAGATGTAGAAGTGCCTATGGTACACAACAGGAATCTTCCCATATTATTAATTTCTGTGTGTATGTAAAATATGAGAAATAAGGGCTACACATCCTTCTTCTATACAGCACTCACCTTTCTGACTAAATAAGAAACTGATTAGAAACACAAGATCACCAAGAGAAAGATAGGCTGGGTGTGTAAGCCACTAGAAGATAAATTGCCTAGCATGCATGAGGACCTGAGCGTGGCCACCAGGATAATGACTTAAACAGAAATTTACCTGGCAATTCCCCAAGAAGAAGAGAGAGCAGCCATGAGGTTACTTGAGGTAGAGATGGAGTGGGAAGCAGTCTGAGTGTAAGAGAGAAGCAGTAGTGGCAGTTTGGAGGCCAAGATGCCTGCCACACAAAGTCTGGTCATTTTTCTTTGGATAACTTGTCATATTGATTTTAAAACATCATGTCCCCATTATTTCATATTTGTATCTCTTAACTCCACATTGAACAAGGCAATAGAAAGGGTTGGATTTTCTAATACACAACAACTCAATCATCAGTGTGTCTGGATGTTTTCCATTGGCATCTGACTCCTGGATCCCACAGGGTATGTACTTCAGGTTCTTTGGCAATTACAGCTTGATACTCATACCATCCGCTCCTAACTTCTCCAACCACTTATTATACTAAAGCAACTTTCTAGCCTATTTCACATGATTTAGTAAGAGCTTATTAACAATAGGAAATGAAGTAAACCTGTAATGATTTCCTTTAAGAAACCCATACAAGCTTCTATACAGCACCATTTTCTTTGCCAGACAGTTCCAGCCCACACACGTATAGTTCATGAAGTATGTACCTGAGATTGGTTTGAACATAGTAGCTTAGCAGTAATTAAGTACCTGCATTCATGCACATAGACAATAAGAACGGATGGTTGGCACATATAGCTTAAAATGGCTGTCTACCTATACCAACAAACACATGCTCGAAATGCAACTGGGTACAGCCAATCCTCATGATACCTGCATTTCCAATCCACATTCTGCCCTTTTCTTCTACTTCCTTAATTCTCTCCTTTGAGAAGTCCTTGCTGACCCTAGGAAGACAGGCTTTTCATTCACTCTTGTGAATAATCACAGCCCTTATTTCTCTCAACTTTGCTAGCCTACCACGTGGCCAACAGCTAAACCTGGGCTTGGAAGTACAGTGCTTGTGATGGCTGTTTTCTTGGTTGTCAACTCAACTACATCTGGAATTAAAACCTAAGCATCTGGGTACACCTGTGAGGGACTTTTCCTGATTGGATCATTCCAAGTCAGAAGATCCACACTAAATCTGGGCCACACCTTCAGGACAAGGGAGAAAGCAGTTTTGCCTTTTGCCTGCTTGCCCTCACCCCTATATCCTGATGCTAAGGTATTTCTTCACTGATATCAGAGCCTACTTCTCCAGGATTCCCACATAAAAGATGACCAGCTGAGACATCCAGCCTCATAGACTGAACAACGATTGGATTCTTGGATTTTCCATCAGGGGACAGCCACTGTTGGGTTAGCCTGACCATAACAGCCTTGGGTGCACTCATTGCTGTATGTGGTGGAAATAGGCTCCGCTGACTTCCAGGAGTATGGCTTTCCCATCTTGGAACTCAAAGAATAAATCCAGCGTGTCACCAACGTACTCTCTAACCCTGAACGTGAAAAACTATTGACGATGAAGTGGAAATATTTGGCAAAAGTTCACCTTTGTGATCATGTAGAAAA